TGTGTGTTGATATCTGGGCCTGGTGCTTGGTGTTCTTGTTCCAATATTTGTCGTAATTGAGTTAGCGATCCTAGTCTGATTAGTTGTGATGTCATCATTCAGTTGATGTTTGTTGTCAGGATCAGTGGTTACCTCTTCAGATTCTGAGTCACTTGAACTACTATCTCTGTATCTTATAGGTTTTGTGGTCGTTCTTCTTAGCCGTTGTCTTGTTGTATCTGTTTCTTTATTGCTGATTTTTACTTTCAGTTGTAGTTGTTTCTGTATGTGTCTCATCAGTATTAATCCTTCATTCATTATCCATTTGTGGTAGGAGTTTCCTTGTATCAGCAGTGTTCCATTTCTATAAACCTTAATAGTTACAGTATGGCCATCTTGATTTGTTAAATGCAGTTGTTCAGTTTTTTCCTTCAGTTTAATTTCATATTGGTGTTGGTTCTCTGGGTACGCTTTCTTCAAACAGCTTAACCAGATGTCAGTATAGTTACTGATTGTTTGTTTATCTTGACCTCCACATTGTTTCCTTGTAACTGGTCAAAGGAACTGAAGAAATCTTTCAAGCTCTCTTCCTTAAATGTTTCAACTGGTATTGTTGCTATGACATCTACAGTATTACTGCCCATTTCAAATTTGACCTGATTTGACCAGTTTCGTAGTAGGCTTTCACTGTGTTTTTGTTTTGAGTAATTTGATAATAGAGCAATTACCATACCATACAAATTCATCCCCTGTTTTAATGTGTGATTTTAATTGATTTTTTCTCATTGTAATGTGAAACTTTACATTTTGTAATATTTTGTAAGTACTTAGTGAATACCGGTACATGTAATTTGATATTTACTTTTAAGTCCTTTATAAGCCAACAAACTTGTTTTTTTTTTGTTTTCTACGATTTGAACAATATATTGTTTTGTGGCCGATATTGTTCTTTTGCCACCAAGACGGAATTTCCGTGCATTTGGAATGTTCCAAATCCCCAATTTAAAATCCATCTCAGAATTCCAATTCCTTGTTATATTATTTTATATCTTAACACTGTACTGTGCTGTACTCTACACTGATTGAAATGTTATTTCTGGAGAAGTGATAAAACATTATTATCATGTTTTTCAGGTGGAGAAATAAATGTATACGAAATGCTGGTGCTGGTGATCTGTGTTGGATATTTCATATTTGACATCGGATGGTGTATATGGTTCTATGATCCAAATGAGAAATTCATGCTTCTTCATCACATACTGACAATATTTGGAATGTTTCTTGTCTTACACAGTGGAAGGGCAGGCACCGAACTCAGTGCTACCATATTTGGTACTGAGCTTTCCAACCCATTTCTGCAGATACGCTGGTTTATGCGAGAGTCGGGATATGACAACACGTGGTTGTATGAAATTAATGATTTTGTTTTTATGATGGTGTTTTTCATTTGTCGCTCTTGTATTGGAACGTATTTCCTTTACACTGAATGGTCGCACCCACGTCCTTGGTTACGGTTTAAACTCGGTGGGACTGCAATCTATCTAATTAGTGTAGTATTTACAATCAACATTGCTTCATTTGCTTTCAAAAAATACACTCGTATGTTCCGTAGATGGAAAAGTAGAAGGAAAATTGCCAATGGAGATATCAGAAATGGGCATGTATGCATGAAGCATAAGTCTGAATAATGAAATAGTTTAAAATTGTGATCAAGAAAAGTAATTTTTTTTTTGCATTTTGTTTTATTTAAAATTTAATGTAGCTTGGCCCTTTGAGTGCTAATGTCATATTTTGACACCATTTACAAAATTTGTTCATACAGTCTGCTTCCACTTCACATAAAAAGTTGATAAAAAATGACAAATCAAAAACTAAAACGAATATCTAAAACTGTCTGTATGGTCGAAAATGGTGATGTAATTTACTGAAAATTTTACAAAATATGAAAATATTCGCACTAAATTTTTGTCAGGAAAAATATCTGACACTCAAAGGTTTAAGGTGATAAGAGATATTACAAGTTGCATATTTTTCAAAAGTGCCAATTTGTTTTCAAAAAAGTCATAAATTATGTGAATTATATTTCAAGGGCAAGTACAGGGATGTATGCGATAATGGAGATATCAGAAATGCATGCATGCATTAAGAATAAGTGTGAATAATGACATATTTTGAAAATTGTAATCAAAGGCAATTCTTTTTATTTTTGCTGCATTATGCTTGATTTAAAATTTACTGTAGCTTAAAGAGCGGTGGTCGTTGCACTGCGCATGTGTGACATTTGTGTTGATAAACATTGATTTTCCCATAATCCAATGCGCTCTTCTAATAGAAATTACAAGTATGAGGTTTGACCTTAGCGCGACTTGCAATTGATTACCGCCGGTGACCTTTGATACCTTCAAATAACCTTATTAAAGCTTGGTAACGTCTCAGTTTGCACTCGTTGATCTGCGCAAAGGTGAAAGTCGCCATCTTTGTTTATATGAGACCCATATATCTCGTGCATGCGTGGCGCAACGACTACTGCATTTTAAAGTGATAGAATAATACAAGTTTCCTATTTTTCAAAAGTGCCAATTTTTTTTCAAAAAAGTCATAACTATGTGAACTTTTGCGAGTCATTATTTCAGTAATAATGGACAATTTGCTGTCCATTATTGAGTGATGACAGGGAAAAGACGGGGATGTATGCAATAATGGGTGAAATCAGATGTACATTACTTGGGGTTTGCAAGTAGTGTGACATGATACCAAGATCCTGTTTCAATCTCGTTCTCGCATAAGCGTTCCCAACTCAGAACAATGCGCATGCTCAAGGTAACTAGGATACTTAGAGGTACAAGTGGATCAAAATAGCTGCTCACGATATGACGAATTACGAGAACTATATTTTCTGTACATTTTTGAAGTATTACGTTTTTTCACTATGATAGTGGTGAGACAAATTTCATTACAAACCTTGATATGTTATATCAGTAGATCGTAGCTTCAGTCTCGCTATCTAAAAGATGAGACTCGAATGGGATCTTGACGTGATGTCACCATACAGAACTATGCGTGTTGTTGCAAACCCAGAGTACTGTAAAATGACTGATTTAGCATTTCAGGCATATTCAGTGGGTTTTAAATTCATGGTTTTATCATTTAGATAATGTGATCTATGCTAAATTTTATATATTCACTGGGCATTTTTCAGTCGGCGAAATAAGCAAAATTAAAACCCAGTGAATAATTAATCCTTTTACAGTAATGTACTTCTGTTGAAACGCATACATAAGTGATAGAACATATTCTTGTGTGAAAAATGCCTGCGCATCCACCAAACCCACTCTAGTTTGTGTAACTGTATTGATAAACCTTAGCATTTAAGGAATGACCATTTATTATTCCTAATGGGGGAGGGGGATTCTCAGTGCTTTTGAAAAACAAAATCAATGGAACCCCCCTTTATTCATTTTGTAAAAGAGTGTGTACCCCCCTTTAGAAAAAATTAAAAATTTGTATTGATCTTACTATATTATTTTTAAATATATACAGTTTTATTTTGTGTTCAATAAAAAAGGCGTAAAGTAAAAAAAATCTCAATCTTTAAGAGAAAAGTATTTGCTCCTTCAGCCTTGATAAAAAGTCACTGCCCCCCTTTGTGGCTTTGGAAAATATGCTGACCCCCCCCCCTGTTTTGCCCATCCCCTCGGGAATAATAAATGGTCATTCCCTCGGTTGTATTGTAGCACAGGCTATATTTTACATAAGTTGTGTCAGAGGTGTACATGTATGGTTGAGTACATTGTACAGGAACCACATCAAACATGTCCAGTGTGCCCTCTTAGCCAATACGAGGTGTCAACGTTGCGCAGAGAATTTTCATAGTTATGCATATTCCTTGGCATGTCATTGACTCATTAGAAAATCATACATTGAAAATCTTACCTTGACAAATATCTCGTAATTTGGTTAAAAAAAATCACATTTTAATACCGATAAATAAGTGTGAAAACAAATGAAATCAATGATCACAACAATTTTGTTTGCACTGAGAACCACATACAATCATTTTTTTTTCAAGTTCCAGCAATCAACAAGCTGACCAACCTTGATTATTGGGGCAGAGCTACGTCACAAGACGTTTCACGTTGCTAAGACACGCACCACTGTACCACGTATTTCTATGGGCTCTGCCCGCACTGCTGAGGAACGTGGAATGCCGAGTGAATTTGAATTTGAGAAAACAGGAACTCAACTTTGAAGTAATCCTGAACAATCAAATTTTTATATGTTACACACATAGGGCTAATCTTGTTGCACTGTTCAGGGGAGTCTCAAAAACCATCCCAAAGTACCGTTTTCTAAGACTTTTCGGCCTTTGTTTTCACCATGATGGTTGCCATGCGATGAAAATGCCTGGATGTCTGCCCCGAGAATTGGGATTTCATTTTGACTCTTGTTAGAAGGTACACTGAACATAATTGTAGCATTCTAAAAAGAATGAATTCTAAGTACATTTAATAATTTACTTCTGATTCCATTCTCATTTTTTTTACCCATAATGCTACTAATATTTCCATAGTTACAGGAATATTCTGGTTCCAACTTGATTGTAGCACAAGTTCAAGGGCGCCCTCAACATGTAAAGTTGGTACAAGTATAAGAGCGCCCTCATTGTGTATAAAGTATGTTTTTCTGAATAATTCAGCATTGTTTATTTATTTCATCAATACTTTCCTCCATTTTCTTCTAAGAGGGGAGTATGTAGGTAACAAAAACTTTTGTATGATTAGGGTGTACAGAATTCCAATTATTTGAATGAAGTTTACAATTTTGTAAACCAAATACATTTTTGTAATACAGGCTCAAAGGATCTCGAGGTACATCTATTTTTTTTTTACCCAATTATTGGAATTTAGGACGAGCAGTCACCTTGCTGTGCAAAATTCATGTATAGTGGACAATACATCAGACTGTAGTACATTGGACTAACTGGAACATCTTGTCACTTCTGCACCCTTGCAGTCTCCCTCTTGGGTGATGAGTGAACAAAATATCATTCATTGACAATTTTCTTGAATATAGCAAATTTAAACACATCAGAACATGGAAGATGTACTGTTAAGCACTCCAATTTTGTAAGGTGACAAATTTTCGAGTCTGAAAATTTATCTATGAGTCTACCAGAATAAAAAGCAACCACGCATACATTTTTTTGAAATACCCATTTTATTTTCATGAAGTACATTCTTACAATTTGTGTAATAAATATGGAAAGGTGATGCATTACCTATAAAAATATTCCAATCCCAATAGATACACAAGTAAACATGCATCTGTACTAGTAAAAATGCAGGACAGCAACCACTATACCCGTAAAAACACTTGTTTTCATTTAGTAAAAATAATCAATTCTGCACATTATTTCCACGACAACTTTTTTGCCTACAACTTCATATTTTGATCACAGGTACTAAGCTTAGAGCGCCAAAATAAACTGATCGTGAAAAACCAATATTTTATTTCTGGAATATCCCTTAAAACTTATTAAGCAGCATTATGACTTTTCATTATTGGAAATTTACATATCAAGTTTGAAACACACTGCTGGGTGCTGGTATACATGTACAGGGTAAACTAATTTAGGTCTGTATGATTACATGGTAAAATGAATCACTAGCATGATATTTCAGCTAATTTAACTTTTCTTTTCACTACTGTATTTACTCAATTATAAACACATCTCTAATGAATAATTAGAAATAGCTACTTATGACTACAGTGATGTACACCGTTTCATTTTCCAAGTTTTTGCGTCTATTCATGGTCTTGACAATAAATATAAATTGATGTGGGGGTTACAATGCACAGTCGCGGCATCGCCCACATAGCTGGAGTCGTGAAATCTATGCATAAAATAAGGTAGACGTGTCATGGGGTCTCTTACTCAGTGCATGCACTACTTGTAGAGCAAATACCTGTATATGCATTTTTCAGTTACCACTAAAAGTAATCAACCACAATTGAAGACTGGTATTTAAAAATGTGTTAATTGAAATACATACATGGTAATGATAATTATTTGAGAGGTTCAATGCTGAAAGGTTCTGGAATTGGCAGTCAATGAAAGCTAATATGTAATACCTTGGGAAAGACAAATGGCACGTTTTAAGACTCTAAATAGCACCCAAAACTGATTCAAGTAAATATTTTGTTTAAATTTTTCTAACACACTCATCTCCTAGCAAACCTATCATTTGTTTCTGTATGATTTATAAAGATGTTCCCTGATTGGCTTGTCAGTTGGTAGTCAGAGTTATATAGCCAATCAGAGGCAGGCTTGCAGGTCACTTCTCAGAATTGTGTGTAGGAACATGTGTTCAATACTGTTTCACCTCTATCAACAAACATGCTCAATGTTCAAAAAACATAAATGGGGAAACTAATAAATTCAGTTCTGCTTGACATTCATAAATGTGATATAGTTTAATTTAAAACGACACTTTCTGTTCAGACTAGTCAAAACTCACCAAAGATACAACATGGATAAGAAACACGAATGTGCAATATTGTTATCACAAAAACAATCAGCACACAGGCCTATTTATTGTTACAGATTGCTCATTTGTATGTTTTTTACCAGTATGTCAAAATCCATATTGTATTTTTAACTAAAATTTCATTTCAAATTTAGGCAACAGTAATAAAAAAAAATGTTACAGCTTATTATTTATTTTTTTCTCATAATTTTAGTAATAATCAATAATGGAGCTATGCCATTTATGGAAGTAAACTTAGTTTCAATTTTTTGACTATGAAAGTGGTGAATCGTGCCACAGACATGCAGATATCAATGATGAATTTGAATTGCAACTTCCATTGATCCAAGTCTAATAAATATGACAGACATAATTTATGCTACATTATAATTTAGGCTAGCCATATTATTGTTTTCATATCAATTATCTGCTGTAGTTCAATTTTTGCTGCTGAACTACAGAGTATCAAGATTTGACGATATATGGCATTCATGGCATTTGTGACACTGCTACAGAATTTGTTGATGTTTATCAATTCGCAAAAATTTGTTTTTCATGAAATTAAAATGATATACAATATCATTGTTGGGATCAGACGAACAAAGTTCAATTTCAAATTAAAATAATTAGAAAGTCATTTCTAAGTAAAACGAAATTATGATCTGGTAAATTATGTATTCATTTGTCAGTAAAGAATATTCATTTCAGTCAGTCTATTCATTTCGAATTTTACCACTAATGCGAAAACGCAAAGATTACTGTTTGTGTTTTCTTCTTAGAATGAATACTTACTTCAAGCTCACATGAAACAAATTTTTGAGAATTTAAAACGAAAATTTTGTAGCAAAGCACCCACAGTCACTTGGGAGCTGAAAATCAATAAATACTAAATT